GTTTACGCGCGCGTCGATCGGGGTGGTCCGCGCGGCGGCCATTGTCGCGCTCGCAATCTGACAGGTTAGGAAATAATCTTAGGAGGTAACCTAGAACACTTTCGGATCAGACACTGTTCTAACTTGTCAGACTGTGCACGGATAACGAGGCAGAATAATGGACGGTCTTGTCCGACAATGTCGGTGTTTATTTACTAGTTTGGACTCTCATTGAAACGAGAAAGCCGGTTACAGGATATAATACGGTTCCGGCTCGCCGCCATATTGGTTATCGGTAACCGTCACCGCGAGGGACCGTCAACCGAGAGAATTTGAATTTTTCCGCTGTAAAAGCTAGATTTGCGATTACGAAAATTAAATATACGATGGGCCTCGTTAAAGTTTATGGTACCAAGTATTCCCCGCACGCTGTGTATTTTAGTACTATGCAAACAAACGTAGCAACATTTATATATCCTTCTGAGACTTAAATTCAGGACTTTAGGTTCCCATCCGCTGATCGCTGTCTGCGAAGCGTAGCGATCTTCTCGTCCCGATTTAATTTAACACGTTGACTGCCTTGGGGGTCACCGGTGAGCCCCGATCAAATCGGATTATTATAATTCAGGCGATTAACGATTGTTCGGAACGATTTTTATATTGCAAAGCAATGCTACCTAACGCGGTGACGTTCGGCGAGATAAGTGTACAATAATGATAGAATAATTCAATGAAATAATTTGATATTATGTTTCTTCCATTTTGTGTATTTCGCTACGTGCAGTCGTGCAGCATTCAACGTGTTAACGCAACGTTCGCGGGACAGTCGCCATATTTCTTGTTGCCGAAACGTACCGTGAAACTGTGCGTCGCGTTTATTCGAACCATTCCCGGCCGAGCCGATGTTAATTCTTTTTCTCCGTTGGTTTTCGCCCCTTCCCCGTCGTTTCCACGGATTTCGTTTGACACCGCTGACGTGGACGTTAAAAATACAAGCAGCGGCGCGCGAAGGTTGTAACAACGCTCCGGATCTAATTCACCGACGATCATAATGGCCGCGGAGGAAACATATCGCGAAGGAATAAGCGCGGCGCGCGCGGCAGTTTCGCGCGGACCATGCCAGTTTTATTTCTGTCGTGCGCGTTGTAAACAGGAGGATCGCGGGTTTAACGAGCTGACATTCTAATTAGATCTTTCCATTTACTTTCGTGGACGAATTCGTGTCACACGACCCCCGCGGGTCCACTAAAACCAGAGAAGAACGCTGACACGGCGGGGCTCTTCAACCGGATTTCCGGTTTGGAATCTCTGCGGTTCCGGAGATACAGTTGCGTTTCCTTTCTCGAACTGCACCGAGCATTTTCCGTATTGATAGTCGGTGGTTTATTTAGTTTACATACACGTTAATGGTATTTATTTATACAAGGATTCCAGAATTGAAGTTTGGTTTCAATATTTGTATTAATCGCGAATGATTCGTTGTTAAAAATAGAATTTTAGTAGTTACGTAGAATTAGGGCTGTTCGGAAGATTTTAAGAATAATTGTATTCGGTTTCGGGGAATATTAGCTTGATTCAAAGAATTCAATTTAAGGAATCGAGAAAAAAAATTAGTCTTGATTCCGAGGCTAGTTCATTGAAGAATTCACGGCATGAATTTTTGGTTTTGCGTCACGGTGCACTATTTTAGCGATCCTCCGGTCGCTCTAATCTTTATTTATACGGTTCCGTAAAGGGAACCGATAAAAATCGGTACGCAGCTTCGCCGTGGAAACGTAAAACAATGCACACGGTGTATTTGCGGCGGGATCGAACGACAGAAATAAAATCGAGTCTGTTGCGTGCACACCGCGTTGCGGCCGTTTCAAAAATACCGCGCGACGTTATTTAGAAGCTTCTCACTGTCTTTAACGTAAATCACGTAATCCACCCTTGACGTGGTTTTGTTTGTAATTAATGGCGGGGACGCGGACCCGTTTTCCTGGCAAGGGAAAATAATGTAAAAATAATCGACGATTATGTCGATTTACCGTTTCGCCGCGGAATTTACGGATCATTTTCGGAGAACGTATCGTTTTATGTTTGGATTGCTTTCGCATTTCTCCGGAGGGTTGTTCGAAATAGAGAAATGTAATATTTTGAATAGCATTATTCTGTCCGCGAATTTCATTCATTTGGATAACAGTTAATTCGGGTTATAAGCAAAGTTGTTAGTCATAGGTCATACGCCTCTTTTCCGTCGAACAAAAAGTTACTTGGATATTTCCTCGGCATTCCCCGTGCTGGTAGTCATAGTTCTAAATCGTCGTAAAGAACGCGAGTTGCACGTTCGCGCGTAACAAACGTGGATCGTTAAAAACTCTCGGAATACTTAAAAACACTCGATCCTCGAATGAGGCCGGCGTAACCTTAATTTTCTCGATTTTACTAGCTCCGTTCTCTAAATCTCGTATTTCGAAATCTTTATTGCGCTACGGATGCATGAACCGTTCCCACATTTTGATTGTGCAAGATACGAACATTTATCACGTTTTGTTTAAACTTTTTCAAAGAACGGAGCTGTCTTCTAAGAAAATCGAGGAGTTATTTAGTCTTGGAAATTTAGAGAGCGGCTTTGTTTGAATAGTAACGCACAGAAAGTTTATACAGCCTTTATAACCTGGGCCAAAGTTGCGCGGAATATAATCTGATTACCTTTAAGATTAATTCTTAAAATGTACATTTTAGTCGAAGTCACCATCTGTAATTATTAATTACTCTCACTTTAATTTCGCCCGTACAATAATAACAATTGACGATTACTGAAAATAATTTATAATAGAATCATCTTTTAATCGTATAACGTTTCGCTAACATTGACTTGGGGTTTGCAATACACTATACATGACCAAGGATATTTGAATTGCAGGAAAGTATCGCGTACGACGCAAGTTTCCTCTACCCAGAACGATCTGGGACGGCGAGGAGATGTCCTACTGCTTCAAGGAAAAGTCCAGGAGCGTGCTCAGGGACTGGTACGCTACCAATCCTTATCCCTCGCCCCGAGAGAAGCGGGAACTGGCGGAAACAACGGGCCTCACCACCACGCAAGTTAGCAATTGGTTCAAGAACAGGAGGCAACGAGATCGCGCGGCCGAACACAGGTATTTATCGTGTTGTTTTCATCTTGCTACATAATCCGACAAATTCGATCATAATTTTTTGCGTGACGAGTGTCTACCATAATCTGCGCATAAGAATTAACAAGAAACAGCGCCGCCATGTTTGTTCCGCAGTTACATTAGATTAGAATCGATTACTACACACAAAAGATATGAAAGTACATAAAACACTTGTGTGACTTAAATTTCGGAGTTGTAGCAATATTTTACATTTCTTTCGAATCTCCTGTTACGAGTGGTTGTATGATAAGTCATAAAAATGTTTCGGTGGAATTATCGCGGCGCCACGTTCGCGCAAAGATGGCGCCGAGTTGGTTGACTCGCTTGGAAGTTACGGTTTCAATTATTCGTCTTTCGGGCTAAGATAATTGTAACTATCATTTAGAATCTAATACTTTAAATTGGAATGTTTCTCCGAGAAAAGTTTATTCTTATTGAAACAAAGTTACTGGGTGAAATAGTCCCCTTAGTATTATTCCACGGCACAAAAATGGCGTCGGCCATATTATATAGAATCGTGTAGCTTTAGGTTTATTCCTCATAAGATCAATCTCTTCGGAATCTTTACTCGAAAAACAAGAGTGTCTACTGTTACTCCGTGAAAATCTCTTTAACAACCACTGATACATACACCAGTATGGCGACCGGTTCTCGGATTCAGTCGAAATGAAGCTCGCGAGTTACGTAACGCGTTACAATAACCGAAAACGCGACGTGCCAGACACGTCTGCTTCGTTTGAGGCAAGAAGAAGTAACTTTCGAAAAACTTCAACGCTTATATTACCTGTTCCGTTTACATATGCACATAAATGTACGCGCGTACATTTCGTACATGCAATCACGAAACTATTCATCCATTCATACGTATAATACATTTTACCAGATTAGCAATATTTTTCTAGTGAACCGTGTATAATTTCCTAATCGAATATATTCTTACCGTGCTTATACGAGCCAAGGTTTACGATGATGTAAATTGCACCCGGTAATTTGAAAGTAAAGTATATATTGTATCGCGTAAGTAGGTGGGCGGATACTTTTGCAAGTAACTGTATATATATTTTCTTTTTTCGCGGATGGCCTTGTTGGAAGTTGCCCGACGGTTGGCCGCGATTGATATCCGTGGAATTCCGTGGCGGGCGCAGGCGTAGGAGGTTTCATGTTGTTTGGAAGGTCGTTGCTCTATATCCGATTTTAGAAACGACCGAGCAATCTCGAAGACGGCCTCATAACTGCGTAACGTAGCGTCTCTGTTCGTCCCTCCGCTATCCTCCCGACTTTTCCGTCGGGATTTTCGGACAATGATCGTCGTTTGTCATTTTCAACCTTCGATCTGACTGTCGCGTTCCCGAATTTCTCTCGCATACCGTGTACACCGGGTGTGCAGGTTAACAACTGACTATTTCCTCTTCCTCTAGTCAAAAATAGATTAGTACATTCCTACGATGTACTAAAGTTCTTAGTTTTTCCTTTCGCCGAGTGTGTTCAACGCCGACTGTTGAAAAGTAGATTTAACGTCGGATACCGTTAGGTTCTCTTATTGTCCGAGCACGCCCATCATTTTTCAATTTCATGTGTCAACGCGGCGGTATTACTCTCGCATATTTCCGTGACACGAGATAAATCTTCGCGGTGATAAGTTAAATACGCTGATATTCGTGGAAGTGGTAACGCCAGTTATATAACGTCTAATAATAATAATCAATTCGCGTCGCTCGTTACACAGTTGTTAACGTTACTCCCTCCGTCGAGCTGCCGATAGAGTAACAGCCTCGAAATTTGTTTAATTCGACGCTTAACAGCTGCTGGATATTATTCGGCGGGCTATTGTGCGGTAAACGGTCCGGTTAGAATTAATTTGAAACGTGGCGTTCATTTTAACGAATGTTTTCTCTCCCTTTTTTTTTTGTTTTCAAGTTCGCGGAGCATCTCGCGCGAACGATGCACGGGAAGGATGGGGGACCGGTCGAGGCCGGGGTCGGGAGACTTAAACGTGTATTAATTTTCACTCCATTCGCAAGCCCGCAATTTTCGAACCGAAACGAAATCGGCCGAGGCGTAACACGAGCCGTCGACGCGCGCTTAATCGAAGCTTCATTACTCTCGGGCGGAAAGTGTTAAAATTCTCGACTGCCTCGAGTCGATTTAGGTACCGTTATAATATACCACTCCCCTCCTGAAATCATACAGAAACTGCTGTCCGGCTTTTTGCGCGGCCACGGCCACGGCGGAGCCGCCTCGCGATTTTCCTTTCTTCGTTTTCTACGCGCGCCGCGCGATTCAGACGACTAACAAAAAACTCTAAATCTCGTTCAACGAGCCCTTTTAACTGTAATAGATAAAAAATCCTCATCGTTGCGCAAAGAAACAACTTTCAAATTGACCACTTTCAATCGCGATCGATCGGGGCGAGTTTCTCTGATGGATGAGACGCGCCGCGCCGCGCCGCGTCGCGGGGACGTGTTTCCTTTATAGTCCGGATTATTTCGACTTTAACGCAGATCCTCGAGTGTTTGCTGATAGATGTTTCCGGATAGATTTCCGTGAAATTTCGTAAAATTCTCTTTTGCGGAAACAGAATTTTGTAGGGCATTCCTTTCTAGATATTAACATATTGGTGTATTCTCTTTTAATGGTTTTTCATTCTTATTTGTATGCTTGTTTCGTTTCTGTTTTCATACGTTGCGAACGCAATGCGAAAACAATTACAACGCACGATAGACGAAGAAATTAATCATCGGAAAAGAATCACCGCACCCTGGCAAATTAATGCGTGCAACAAGGAAAAGTCTCTTTTCGCGAGCCTATTGTTCGCTTCCGGTTCCATGGAACGGTTTCGTTCAATGACGCGTGACGGACACTCGGCTTTCGGTAGGGGAGAACGTTTCGAGTCGTTGAATCCCTCCGATGAACACCATAAATGTCGGTGCTCGTTCGCAAACCGACGTGGTCAACACCATTTATCAAATTTGTGTAGATTTTAGAGCAAGAATGCAATTGTTTCTTTACACACGTAATTCCGTTGAACGCTCTTGACGAACGAGCCGCGTAAATAATAGCAGGCGAGTGTAAACTAGGAGGAAATGAATAATAGAAAGGAAGTAAGGAGGAGCGCTACTCAATTTTCTTTAAATTCTGGTGCTACAATGTAATTGTTCCGTTACACGCATAATTTCACCGACATCTATCTACCATACCACCCTTTGATGAACGATTCACTTAACCGTTTGAGTCCCGAGCGGCGCGATGGCGCTTCTCTGTTACATTGTCTAAAAGTGCCACGCGATCGGTTCGTAGAATCAGATGAAGCTCGTTTATTTCTTCTCCTTCTAATTATTCATTTTTATTTTCGTTATTACCCTCCTAAGATTGGAAATATGTAACGATCGCACTATTCAAAATTTGTTTCTGTAAAAATAGAAAAGCGTGATTCACTTTCTAAACTAAAAGGAACGAAGCTCAATCGCGCTTGGCATTTTTCGACCGGGTTTTCGCGAGAACCCGTGGGACTCGAACGGTTAAATAATGGCTGAGGAACGTAAACTAGAAGAAAACGAAACGAAAAACGAGCGAAGAGAGCGAAAAGAGACTGGAGAGAACAGAAAGAAAGGGAAAAGGAAGACCACCATCGGTCCCCCGATTTCGGCGGTGAATCCATCGATGCGAATCGATGTGCGGCCAGGATAGATAGACCGGCCGTAGTGGTGGCACCGCTTCTACTCTGCGGAGAATTTCGCGAGGGAGGAAGTGGGAAGCACCACCGTGGCGAAGGCCCGGTCCGGTGCACAGCCGTGTCACGCCACGGGGAACGTATCGAATTTCTTATGGCTTCTGTGTATTCCCATGAACGGAGACGGAAGGTTAGAGAGAAACGAGGGAACGCGGGGACAGAGAGGGAAACGTGCTGGAGGGTGGAAGGGGGATTGTGTCTGTGTGTGTATGTGTGAGAGAGAGAGAGAGAGGGAGAGAGAAAGAGAGAAAGAAAGAGAGAGAACCGCGGTGGTGGCTCTCCTATAGTCCTATCCGATGGCTTTGGGGGTATCGTGAATACGCATGGCATCATTCGCGGCATATTAATTACAGGAAATCCCACAAAACATTCATACCCACCCTCCTTCCTCGCGCGCACCC